ATTAAAGATTCTTATCTAAATTGACTATTTTAAACTAATAATTACCTAAATATTATCTTCTAATAATTCATTAATTCTACTTCTTTTAGCTTTATGAAAGACACTGAGACAAAAAGAATGTAAATTTCTATTTATGATTTCAATTTTATAGCATTCATGCTACTCAGAATGTATTTGACCACCATTAAAATTTGAAGATTCATCCTTAGATATCAAATCCAAAAATTGAGAGTTCTTTTTTTCCTTATAAATAAATCAGGCATCAATTAGTAACAATCTTCATTAGTCCATATTCATGATCTATTTACAAATCATAATTTACTTTTAGTATAACCTGCTAAATTTTTCTATCTCTCTTCTTCTGATTTATTGTGTAACCTTAATTAACTATTAGTACACTGCTGATATTATTTGGTTGAGTTATTTTTCTTTCTTCATTAATATTATATATATATAACTTGATTCCTTCTCAATTAATTTGTGCATAGAGTCGGAAGTTGATTAAGAGTGATAAATTAACATCTTTAGTTATTAAAACTTTTTATTATATATTTCTTAAAAAATGATACAAAAAGGTCTTGAATTTAATGCTTTGTAAAAGAGCAAATTGATTATCTAAAGATTTATGCCTCTCTAAAAGTTGCGAGCGATAGAATCTTATATTTAATTTCTTTATGGTTTAAGATGCAAAATCTCATTATACTTTAGAAGTTTTAATTTAATTTTATTAAACCTCAAATTAAACTCAGGAAGTTATTGATATAATTAATCCACTCAAAATTCAGATAGCAATAATATTCCTATTTAGTAAACTTCATATCCATATTACATTTTCGTTTTCAAAATTTAATAAACATATTCCATAATTTTAACTTTAAAACAAATCAGTTCTTAATGTAAATTACAATACGAGACTAATTACTCGATCTTATCCTTAAAAAAGAAGTTGCTATTTTTCTTTAGCTAATAACTTTAGAATATAAATAGAATGGGGCTTATATTGTGACCAGATTGATCGATTATTCTTATCTAGTTTTCAATTCATTCTAAGTTTTTATCAAATAAGATGAAAGCAACGATGATTATAATCAATAATATCTTAAGTCTAGTGTCTTCTTCTAGTTGAAATTAAAATTAGATTTGAAACTACAGAAGTTCTAAATCAAAAAGTTGTAATTGTGAAGCCGAATTAGAAACTCCTGGTAACCAATTTCAGCATTGATCAAGGTCTTCTATATAAGGAGTCCTATTTATATTGTTATAATAAGAAACCATTTGATGGTTGAGTTTTATTTCTTTAATCATAAAGCCGCTTACTTATGATATGGCTTATTTTAATGGAATTCTTATAATATAAATTGTAAACATCGTAGATCAAAGCAAATAAGCAAAATCATTATTTCAACTACAACTCCAATGATCTAAATCATTTTTAGAATTCTTAGTTTTATTGTAAAACGTGAAGGAGAATTGATATTTTATAAATCAAGCATCTTTAAACTCTTCGGATGTTTGGAATCATAAACGAGTAAATTTGACTAATATTTAATGTTTTGGTTGGATAATTAAACCTTTTTTTTTAATTGATCTTAAATTTCATTAAACCTGCAAATGACCCAAAACATAGTAATGTGAATTTATTCAAATGAACTAATGCTTTTTGTTTCATATGAAAGCTTTTTTCAAAAAGCCTCTTGCATATGTACATAAGCCTTCTTAAGCCATGATGAAATTATGAAAAGATATATCTCAAAACTAATTAAGATAATTTATAATACTTGAGTATTGTTCCCAATTTAACACTGCATACTCTCATCATTAAATTAGGTATAATCTACATCGAAAAGATGACTATTCAATACATTTAAGGGTTATTTCTTCTTTGTGTATACATAATAATAGTGAATTATCAGATAGAAGCAGATGAAATGATATGCAATTTCACAGATATTCATTACTATATTCATTGTAAGGAAAAAGCAATCTAAAAATACAACATATTTTCAGATGTTATAACCCTCTGTTGAAATATTAGAATAATTATGGTTAAAAAGCTTCATCTAATAATAAAAAAAATAGAGTTCTATATTTAGAAGTAGAAGAATTTTTTTAAGAAATTAAGGATTACAAATTGAAATTTGGAGAAAAAATCAATTTTCAAATAACAATACTAATAAGGGTAAATTATTAAAGCGTTTAAGCTATAACGTTTGTCAAGTGGAAATTTACAAACAATCAAATAAATTGCAGTTTAAGTTATTCATGCTATTAACAAATCTTCCTTTATTTGAACATCATTCTAAGGTTTAAATAATTTAAACTAAATTAGACTATCCAATTATATTAAAATTAGGGAAGAACAACATAGGCAAAAAAACACTTAGAAATTAAAAGAGATTCATTCATGAAAAGATGTAGGATATTAGTAAGCAGACTGAGGACTTT